AATAAGTCCAATTAAGTTGGCGAATCTGCACCATACGGCACTGTCTGTCTAGTAGCGTCTACCAATTTTTTCAAAGTCAATTTGGGCAACGTTTCAACGTTCATATACAATAAATAATCTACTTTGAAAACATGATTTTAATTATTTTATCATTTCGGATCGATTTAGGGGAAAATTTAAACAAACATCAGTATTTTATATTTTGTAAAATCACGTTTAAAGTGGACTTGTAAGTGATCAACCACCCAATTACAAGTCAGAGTCTTATATGCTATGCAGCTACGATACTTAAAAACTAAATCTCTCGCTTGAGAAAACAATATTATATAAGTTAAATATACAAATATATTATTGTGTGCCTAGTGCGTTTATGAAATATTGTCTGATTTTTAGTGTTATAATTTACACGATTTTGTCTTTTAGAAAACGTATTTTGTTAGGTTGAGATGTATAGATGTTGAATATAAATTAATCTCAAACTTAATTCTCAAATAATATAGAGTTATTTTGATCAAACTGAAACAATTGACTATTCCACTTCAAAATTAGAAATAATTGGTGAAACAGTGAAGTGGGATCTTAGATCAATGGATTAGGGAGTTGGGAAAATATCAGATAAAAGGATTAGCACATAAATTTATTTATTTCTAAAGAAAAAAATGGAAAATATTTGATAAAACCACTGAATAAAAAGATATGATGTGGTCATCACAATCAATATTTGTTAAGATTTATTTATTTATTTATTAAGATTTATGTATTTATTTATTTGTTTTAGAATTGTTACTGTATAAAATTAATAGCAGTTGCTAAAACTTGGTCATTAGAAATTATGGTATCATGTGTTAGTTGGTTAGTGGATAGTTATTTTTTAGAAAAAATAGAAACAGCGTTACACTTTGTTATGCCTACAAAAAGGCTTATTTTTATGAATAAAATCATCCAGTTTTTAGTTTCTCTTGTAACAGTGGTATCCAGAGCTAGGTTACGTGAGAGAGACTACATAATTTTTTTCTCACACATGGCTTCAGAAAATGGATATGTGCAAGCAGCTATTCCACACTTTGATGGTTGTAACAGCCCGAATTTCATTAAATAATTAATTATAGTAATTAATTGATTTAGTGAGATTTTTATTAATGTTGGAAATTAATTTTTATTAATTGGAATTAATAGAGAATTGGGAAGGAAATTAGAAGGAAGGAAAATAAAGGAAATATATAATCAACTACCTACCCATTAAAGTTGATGTCCACCATTCTACCCATTATACCCTTCACATCAAAATTGATTATGCCCAACTCAGAGACAAAATAGTAAATAACAAAATCAACTCTTTCAAATGCTCTAAAGCTCACCATTCTTCCACATGTCCCTCACCAATTGGTCTATTCTTTCTCTTTACCAACTCACTCTTTCAACATTTCCCTCTTAATCTCACGTTCTCTCTTTCTCTCACCTTCTCTTTCTTTCTCCCTATTTCTCCTCTCTCAGAAGTCGCTCTCTATTCTTTCCCCTCTCTCATTTTCGTCTTGTCATCACAACCTTCCCCATCTCTCTCTCAAACCCTAGCGCTCCGCCGCCGAAGCTCTGGGAAATAAGTCAAAACGAGCTCTGTTATGTTCTTTAATTTTTGTAGTGTTTCATTGAAGTGGTTTTTGAGGGTTTGTGATTATGGATCGGGAAGTGGTTTCATTGAAGTGGTTTTTGACTGTTTGTGACGGTTTGTGATTATTTGATTTTTGTTAGATGACCTAAGTTTGCTCCTGTTTCTTTTTTCAGGAATATTGACGATGTCGACAAAACCATGGATGAGATAAATGAACAGACTGAGAACATGAAGCAGATTCAAGAAGCATTGTCAACTCCAATTGGTGCAGCAACTGATTTTGATGAGGTAATTCTCTCAAATATTTACTTATTTGTTATGTCACTTGTTATCTTTTTCTATTTTTCATTGCAGCTAAAAACTTTGGTGTCACCGAGTTTATTAATCCAAAAGACCATGAGAAACCAATTCAGCAGGTTATCTGTGATCTAACAGATGGAGGAGTTGATTATAGGTTTGAGTGCATTGGAAATGTCTCTGTGATGAGATCTGCTTTGGAATGCTGCCACAAGGTGAATGCTTCTGCAAGCAATTGCAGCTTCTGTTTCATTAACTCAATTTTTCAAATTTTACATTGGTGACTGATGGTTGTACACATGAAAACATTCTTTGTTGAAAATTTCCAGGGCTGGGGAACATCAGTTATTGTGAACATTAGAAAGAGTGAACCTTGATATAATTTGTTTTCCTACAAATTTGTAGTTGATGGACGTGTATATAAATTCTAATCATGAGTGGACATGAACACAATGCCTTATAACTTACAAGTAATCATCTGTACTGTTCCTTGCGATATTGTCTCACTCCTTTTATTCTTTGTTGTTATTATATTTGTCACAGCAACTAGGAAGCCAACATTGTCCAATGCTTGGAATGGAAGTAAATTACTCTTCAATTTGGATGATGCGCAAGTTCAAGAATACAAATCTAAGTAATGATTATGGTTCTAATGATTATGGTTTTCCAAATTTAGGTTAGGCTCTTACCAACCCTCTCAAGTGTCTTCTCAAAATTCTGATGGATATTCCTGCATTATGGTTTTCCAAATTTACTATCGTCTTTATCATTTTCTTCTTCCTGTTGTATATTACTTTTCCTGATAAATTTTGTTACATGCTTGCCTTATGTGGTTCATAATTTTAGGAGTTTTTACTATTAACACGTGAATGATTCTATTATGTGTACATCCTTGGCTTTCTGTTGTGAAACAACCAATGCACACTTTGATGCAATTTTCACTTGATTACCTCCAGCAAGTGCATTCAGCACTAATGAGATAATAAATGCATCAACAGAACTCTATACACTTACAATTCTATGCACATCCCCATTTTGTGCTAAATATTTTGTTTCTTTTTATCATGCATTTTCCCCCTGAGATTTATTCTTCTTAGAAGTATCACAAATTGATAATTGATTCCCTTTTGCACCTTTAAACATTCTTTCCTGTACGAGCTGATTGCTTTTCCAGAACACGAGCTCATGATTAGATTGTGGTTACTGGGATCTTTCTGGTGGGAGAAACTAAGCCAAAATTTTGTTCATGTCTTGTGCACATAACTAATATTTGTTCCTCCCTGGGAGGGATTTTCACATAATTTGTCCCGGGCAATGAAGTACGGCAGATAGCGTCGAACAGGTCAATCACAGTGCTGAATGGGAGTGGACAAAGTAGTATGTTTTTCTGCCTAATGTGGCTGCTGCTTGAGAGGCTATGTTTCTCCACCCATTTTTTTTATATTCTTTTCCTTTTTCTGCAGGTAATTTATCATCTCTTATGGTTCCAGCTACTGTCTTGGGTGCTGCGGGCTATGGCTATATGAAGTTCAAGGTATGGAACTGCTGGGTTCCTTGCTGTTTTTGTAGTTGTTTCATTAGTTTGTGGTTGACAGTTTATTTCTCCGTCAGAACTTACCATTATTTGTTGTTTCATAAAGGGTCGCAAATTGTTATTCACTTATTTGATTACACTGAATTTTACAAGTGATTTTTTTTATCCAGTTGATATTTCTGAAATAATTGTTATTCGCGATACTGATTTCAATGTTCTTCTCTCAATACCAGGGCCTTTCATTCTCAGATCTTATGTATGTGACTAAACGTAATATGGAAGCTGCTGTTGCCGATTTGACAAAAAAGCTGCAGCATGCCTCTGATGTCATTGATGTAGGTGTCCATTTACTGCATTGGATTTTTTTTCAATGTTTTACATTTTTAGTCATACTCACATACGTATGTGCAAAAGTGTTTGGTCATAATTGCACCGCACCATCGATTCTTCCATTTGAAGGGAATGAAACCTCCTTGAAATAACGTGTAATTTTCCTTCAACTTAGTAGTAAGAGTGGAGTGTATTAAAACATTTGCCAGATTTTGTTAGGCTATCAATGACCTGGGCAATCAAATAACCAATAGGCAGTAATTTCTAAACCACCACCCCAATCATTTGTTCCAAGATCTGGAGGTGCATATCTCATTTAACACTCAAAAGAAAAAGGGAAACAGAAATCTTACATGCCCTAGGGACTTTGGATAATTAATAGGAAATGCTCTTTGCTGTCACACATTGTTTTACCGACAGACTGTAATAAGCCGCCTACCAGCTGAAACTGTTTGTAAGAATGAATCAACTGTAAGTGAATTCTTATGAACATTAATCCGCCCCCAATCTTCTACCCTTAGAGAAAGGTAAACCCTGCATTATTGGAGACTGCAAGCCATTTGTTGTCTTTAATATGGGGGATGTAGCAGTTTTTATTCAGATTTGCCACAATGACCCACAGTTTGTCTTAAATGTTTTTCCCATCATCATTATGCACTTGATTAAAAAATTTAACATGGAAGTTAATGCTTAAATGTATTAATAATCAATTATGTTTTTTGAATTTTAACTGCTTCTCAATGTTTTAAATGGCAGGATGCCAAGAAGCACTTGACCCAGAAATTCAAAATTTGGATGACAAAATGCGCAAACAAAATGAGAAGACACGGCTAATTCAGGATGGAGTATGTCTTTTGATGGTTACACTTGTAGCTATACAATGATATATGCAGCCAAACATATTTTTAGATACACATGACAAACGTGCACTTATGTACTTTTTTTTGGTTACCTATGTAAGACTTATATATATGGACCAGCACTTACTATTTTTTTGCAGACAACTGGATCAGGCTTCCCTTAGAAGTTATTGAGTTTGAAAATTCTAATCTTGACGGATATTTATTAGTGAATATGATGTACAGTAAGGAAGACGATAAGCTCTCATTAAACAGCAGTTATTCGTTCCGATTGGTTACAGAGTGGCTTAATAGGGTAGTTGGTAGTAAACACCTGATAGTTGTTGCATCTTGATTAATAATAGAATATTGGGTTCTCTAATAGTAAGACATGTTTCGTCCTCCTCTCTCCCATCTCTCTCTGTTTGTTGTTGGTTTAAACAACTCTGAAGTGCAGCTATGGGATACAACTTCCGATAAGCATGTATGTTATCCTTCAAATTATATACACCACTTTATGAACTATTGCTATCCTTTTCCTACACAAGTTAGATTACTAATGTTGTTCTTGCATGTTTTTGCAGTTGAGAACACTGAGAGGTGGACATAGGCAGCGTGTTGGGTCGTTGGCATGGAACAATCACATACTCACAACTGGAGGAATGGATGGTAGAATTCTAAACAATGATGTACGAGTTAGATCACCCATTGTTGATACATACAGGGGGCATGAACAAGAAGTTTGTGGGTTGAAATGGTCGACTTACCATTGCGTCATATATGTTCACAACCTCTATAATCCGCTGATATAAAAGTGATAAAAATGATTTGTTTAAATAATAATAAATCGATATTAACCTCTCTTTTATTTTTTTTAAGTTAAATTAATATCAATGCTAAAAAAATTAACATATTTATATTTAATTTACATAAAATTTAATGTAATATAATTTGTGTATTTATTTAAGGGCAAAAATATATATTTTATTCAAATATTTTTATACGGAAAAAAATACATTGTTGATTAATTTATTTATATATATGAAAAAATATATTATTATTATAAACAGGAATAACTTTAATTGTGCCAAATGTCGAATAATATTAATTTATCAATCATTTATTGTTTCAAATATTGAATAATATTAATTTAGATAAAATTTTATGTAATATAATTTGTGTATTTACTTATAGACAAAAATGCATTGTTAATTCAAATTTTTTTATATAGGAAATAATACTCTATTGATTGATTTATTTAAAACACTAAAATAATTATACCATGAACATGAAGTTATTGATCAAAATATTGAATAATAATGACAAGTCTAAAATTCTGATTATTATATATTTCAATGTTTTCACTATAATGTTTTAAATTTTATTCAAATACTTCATATAATTCACAAGATACAATCAGTTAGATTCGAATAAAAGAATATACATAAATACTATTCTTAATGTGCATTTGAATATAATTCAACTATCAACCTATTTAATACTATATCTCATTCTTGTGTACTTTTCTTATACCCGTGCGGACGCACGGGTCTTCTACTAGTAGAGAAGGAAAAGAAAAGAAAGTTAGAGAGAAACATTTGGAAAGAAAGAAGAAGAGAAAGAGATGAGAAGAAGAGGAAAGTGGAAAATCATCAAGAACCAACATCAAAGCTCCGATTAATCGAGGTAAGGGTGAGAAATGTTTCTATTTGATCATTGCATGATGTTATATATGTTGGGTTGGGGTTTTGGTGTGGTTTCCATCCTTTTCCATTTAGGGCAAAAGTTGGAATAATCGGTAGAACTGTGATTTAATCGGTTGGAATTGAGTAATAATGTCGTAGAATAGTCGGGTAACGTGTAGTGATGTTGTTTGAGCTGGTTTTGATGTTTGGGAGATGGTTGGTGGTGGTTTGAGGAGGAGAAGACAGAACAAAATTCTGTTCTGCGCAGGTTCGCTGGCTCTCGCTAGGCGAGCGAAGGCGAAGCTTCGCCGGGCGAAGCCTAGCGAACGCTGGCGAATAATTATGATTAAGTCCCAGTGGACTTCGCTGGCGAGTTCGCCAAACGAAGGTTCGCCCATCGAAGGTGCTGGCGAACAAAGTCAGTAGCTACTGACTTTGGCTCGTTTGGGAGTCTCGCCAAGCGAAGGCCTAGCGAGTGTTCGCTGAGAGGGTTCGCCAGGCGAAGGTCCAGCGAAGGTTCGCTGCGGGGCCTCGCCAGGCGAATATGGGCAAATTTGACAGCATCTTTTCTTTGCTGTGGTTTCTATGTGTTGATGATTTAGTTGTTTCACATAGACTAATACCTCTACATTGTGAGTATGTATGTGATCTATTGTGATGATATGTGCTGTGGGTAGCCTACGGGCGTGAATCCTAGAATTGTGATTTGAATGTTAATTGCATCAAGTATAAATACATGTGAACATAATAGGTGATTATGTGTGTATTAATTAATGAACTTGTGAATGCTTGATGTGTATACAATTATGTGATGAGTATGCATGAGAACATTGTGAATATGTGTGCATAACTTGTAATTGTATGATTGGTATGGTGATGTGATTACCTTGATTGTTGTGATATATGTTGTATGTGCAATCATTGTGTAATTCTTGAAGAGATGAATTATTAAATGCATGAGATTAAGATGCGAGAACGGTCTTAAGTGCATTGTTGTGGTTGATTGCATATGCATCATTTAGTCAAGAGGCAATGTCTGTTAGTTTCGTGGAAACTAGTGGCTTGTCCCAAACCTAGAAGAGTGGGTTTGAAGGCTTAGAGGACGGGCCTTTGTTGTTATCGGTCTAGAAGAGTGGACCCGGTTTAATGTAAAAACCGAAAAATGATAACGGGTTATCGGTCTAGAAGAGTGGACCCGGTTTAATGTAAAAACTGAAAAATGATAACGAGTGTCGGTACCGCATTGCATGAGTTGCATTGAGTTGTTGAGTCACATTGATATATGACATATGCATGAAGAAATGCTTATGTGTGAATGATAAGTTTGTGGAAATGTGAGTGTATGCATGATGTGGGAATGCTTTGTGAATATTCATGTTGTCTATATATATGTGTGGTAAATATATATGACTAAGAGGGTGAATTATGGTGAAAAATATGGAGTTGAATTATATGATTACCTATATATATATATATATATATATATATATATATATATATATATATATATATATATATATATATATATATATATATATATATATATATATATATATATATATATATATATATATATATATATATATATATATATATATATATATATATATATATATATATATATATATATATATATATATATATATATATAATCTTATGCTTTGATTATTATGGTTATATTTCTCACCCTTCTGCTGTTTTATAATGCTCTACGAGGCATTGCAGATTAGGATGCTGGAGTCCTTTTTGTGAGGTTATCTTCATTCTTTTGAGTCGGCTGCTCTGATATGTAACACCGGGTAGTTAGACTAGTATAGTTATTCTTTTGTGATACGAAGTGATGTATCAGCTAATGTTAATTTGTAATCTAACTGATATGATGTATTAACTGAATAACTTATGTGTACGTGATTTAATATTTTGGAAATGATTAAATGATTTTATCTTTCGCTTAAATTTAAATGTTGAAATGTGATTTCTAAAACCATGAAAATGCTACATATTTTATGGAGAAAATGTTAAAGTGTTTCATTGGTGAAATTGTGACATTCTTCCTTTATACCTTATTCTAAAATTTTCACTCTGATAAATTTGTATATGCATTTATTTGGGGGTATAGAAGGGGGTGTTACAATAGTGGTATCAAAGCAGGTCGGTCCGTCCGGCCAAGTTGTTAGAGTGTTTTTCCCTGTGTGATATTGATATGCGTGTGTTGCATTATCAATATTGGTTGTTCTTACGTAGTTCTGTTGTTGGAATTAGTAAGATGGTTGCAGGGAGGAACGATGAAGCGATCGCAGAAGCTTTGACAAGGTTGGCGGGAGCGATTGGGCAGAATCCTCCGGCCAACGTGAATGTGGGGAATGTTGTTGAAGATGAATTCTGTGCTTTGGGGAGGTTTCAAAGGAATAATCCTCCGATGTTCAAGGGAACTCACGAGCCTGACAAAGCACAGTTTTGGTTGAAAGCTGTAGAGAAGATTTTTCGGGTTATGAATTGCTCAGATGCACAAAAGGTGCAGTTTGGGACTCACATGCTCGAAGCAGAAGCTGAAGATTGGTGGGGTAATACTCGCCAAAGACTTGAGGAAGATGATACTGTGATCACTTGGGATCTGTTCAGAGAGACTTTTCTGGAGAAGTATTTTCCAGAGGATGTGCGAGGGAAGAAAGAGATTGAATTTCTTGAGTTAAAACAAGGTAATTCAACGGTAGCGGAGTATGCGGCAAGATTTGAAGAGTTGATCAAATTTTGTCCTCATTACAATACCGCTAATGCCGAGAGGTCTAAGTGCCTCAAGTTTGTGAACGGTTTGAGACCCGAGATTAGGCAAGCTATTGGATATCAGGAAATCAGGCAGTTTTCTGAGTTAGTGAACAAGAGCAGAATCTATGATGAAGACAGTAGGGCTCGGTCTAGCCACTACAAGAGTTTAAGTGATAAGAAAGGAAAAGGTCAATTCCGAGGAAAACCTTATGTGACTCCTGCAGACAAAGGGAAGCAGAGAATGGGTTATGGCAAGAGGCCAAGTGGGGGAGTTTCTACTCCGATTAGATGCTATAACTGTGGTGAAGCGGGACATCGTGCTCCCGAATGCAAAAGTGTTAAACATAAGTGTTTCAAGTGTGGCAAGCCACGCCACAAGGCTCTTGAGTGTAGAAGCGGTACCGGTGTGACTTGCTACAACTGTGGTGAGCGAGGGCACATTAGTACCAAGTGTGATAAGCTTAAGAAGAATCAAGGGAGCGGAAAAGTGTTCGCTCTATCTGGATCTGAGACTGCTAGCGATGATCGATTGATCTGAGGTACGTGCTTCATTAATGGTACACCTTTGATCGCTATAATTGATACCGGAGCTACGCATTCTTTTATTTCTTTGGATTGTGTTAGAAGGTTGAATCTTGAGTTGTCTGTGATTGGTGGCGGTATGGTTATTGATACTCCTGCTATGGGTTCGGTAACTACACCGTATGTTTGTTTGAATTGTCCGTTGAGTATCTTCGTTAAAGATTTTGGAATTGATTTAGTGTGTCTTCACCTAGACCAACTCGATGTCATCCTTGGGATGAATTGGTTGAAATTCAACCGGGTATATATTAACTGTTTTGACAAGACGGTTATTTTTTCGGAATCGGACGTTGCAAGAGATTTGTTTATGACAGCGAGACAAGTGAAAGAATCAGAGCAAGATGGAGCTAAGGTATTTATGCTTATGGCAACTTTGAGAGTTGATGGAAGTGAAGGGATTGGTGCCTTACCAATTGTTAGAGATTTTCCGGAAGTTTTTCATGAAGAGATAAAGGATTTACCGCTGGAGCGAGAAGTGGAGTTTTCGATAGATTTGATTCCTGGAACTAGTCCGATATCGATGGCTCCTTATCGCATGTCGACATCAGAATTGAAAGAGTTGCAGAGTCAACTTGAGGATTTGCTTGAGAAGAGATTTATTCGTCCGAGTGTGTCGCTGTGGGGTGCACCGGTGTTGTTGGTTAAGAAGAAAGAGGGTTCTATGAGGCTTTGTGTGGATTACAAACAGTTGAACAAGGTGACTATTAAGAATAAGTATCCACTTCCGAGGATTGATGATCTGATGGATCAGTTGGTTGGTGCAAGTGTGTTCAACAAGA